TTATCTATATACGTACTTTGACACAGACCTATCAACTTTCTTGATCTATCACAATAGACCCTTATGCAAAGGGCATAATTAGCATTCCTATAGTCTTTCTTGGCGAAGTTCTCGCTCAACCAAATTTTTATAAATGTAAGAGCGGGAAGATCGTTACCCATCAAAAATATGTCGTCAACATATAAGACTAAGAATACTATCACACTCCCACTGACCTTCTTGTATACACAAGACTCGTTAGAATTCGTCTCGAAACCAAAACTAGTGATGGTTTCGTCGAACCGTACATACCAGCTACGAGATGCTTGTTTTAACCCGTAGATTGATCGGTGCAGCTTACAAACTTTGGCAAATTTACCAGCAATTATGAAACCTTCAGGCTGTCTCATATAGACATCCTCCTTGAGGTTCTCGTTAAGGAAAGTCGTATTGACATCCATCTGCCAAATCTCGTAATCGTACAAAGCGACAATCGCAAGCATTATCTGAATGGAATTCAGCATAACGACTGGTGAAAAGGTTTCTTCATAGTTAATTCCGTGGATTTGCCTATAACCTTTTGCAAACAATCTAGCTTTGAAGGTGTGAACCTTCCCGTCTACATCCGTCTTCTTCTTGAATACCCACTTGCATCCTATGGGTTTTACCCCTTCGGGTGCATCAACCAAGGTCTAGACTTGGTTTGTGAACATAGATTCCATTTCGGATTCCATGGCTTCAATCCATTCTTCGAATTCGGGGCCATAAATTTCCTCGAGGTATGTCTCAGGTTTGTCTTGATCTACTAATAAGACGCCACCTTCATCAGATACAAGGAACCTGTATCTAACCAGAGGATTACGTATCCTGTCCGACCTACATGGTATATCTTGAGCAATTTGAGGTTTAATTGCTTGACCCTCTTGCTCACGTTCATATGGGTTTTACCCCTTCGGGTGCATCAACCAAGCTCTAGACTTGGTTTGTGTACATAGATTCCATTTCGGATTCCATGGCTTCAATCGATTCTTCGAATTCGGGGCCATAAATTTCCTCGAGGTATGTCTCAGGTTTGTCTTGATCTACTAGTAAGACGCCACCTTCATCAGATACAAGGAACCTGTATCTAACCGGAGGATTACATATCCTGTCTGACCTACATGGTATATCTTGAGCAATTTGAGGTTTAATTGCTTGACCCTCTTGCTCACGTTCCAATACTATCAGGACTTCCTCTTGTGGTTCTCGAATTTTATCGAGGTCTACATTTCTCCCACTAGAGATAGTGGAGAGAAACTCCTTCTCATGGAAGGTCCCATGCCGGGCAACAAAGATTGTGTTGTCGGTAGGGTGATAGAACTCATACCCTCTAGTTTCCTTGGGGTATCCCACAAACTTACACTTATCGGATTTGGGCTCCAGCTTACTAGACGTCATGAGGCATTTTACATAAGCGTCACAACCCCGTATCTTAAAGTGCGAAAAACTCGATTTTGTCCCACGCCAGATTTCGTACGGCGTGCTCTCCTAATTCCACTTGGTTAGGGTTTTAAGTTTTCCTATATATACCACAAGTATCACACAAAAAAGGGGGAAATACACGAGAGTAAAGGGAGGCACGATCTAGTTTTTGGTTGAGAGGCGCTCATCATTTATATCTAGACCTGGCAAAATAGAACCGGAACCGATTACCGAACCGAAATATCCGAAACCGAAACCGGAATGAACCGAAAAACGAAGATCCGATCTATAACCGAAAACCCGAAATAATCCGAATCGAACCGAAACCAAACTAAATAATTCATATCCGATTTAAATCCGAAACCGATTAGATCCGAAACCGATAATATCCGAACCGATTAAACCTGAAACCGATTATATCCGAACCTGATAATACCCGAAACCGATAAAATCCAAAACCGATTAGATCTAAAACCGATAATATCCGAACCCGATTAGAACTAAAATCGATAAATTCAGAACTATGTTTGCCTTTCAATCAGCATATTATATTTTTAAATTTTTACTTTTATTTTACCATTTGAAATAATTACATTACTTGCTCATTCCCTCACAAAATGGATTATCTTCTTGAAAAAAAGTACAAAATTTTATACCTTAAATTTATTATATGTAGAAATTAAAGATAAGTTATACATATAAATGATAACGCACAAACAAATAAAATTTTCATAATTTTTAAATAGTGAAGTGTGATATTCTTTTTGGGACGAAAGGAGTATATGATGAATTGTATGGAATAACTAGACTTTATCCTTATTTGATCTCATTACAATAAATTTTATTGATTTTGAGAGCTAATTTGATTAGTTTCAAACCAATTCACTTAATATTAGTCAATAAAATTAGATGCTAGTATTAGTATTTTGAAAAGACTCTCTAGCGATCATTTTTAAATTTGATCTACATCATTACATTTAGGTGTAAAATTAATTATATTTGACTCTATTAAATTTAATTTTCTCTATTTTGAACCAAATATACTCAATAATTTACAAATTTTGCATTCAATTGAATAAAATTCACTTAATTTCACCCAATTTTACTCAATTTTTACCACATTGTATTCAAATGAACATAAGACTATTTGAATTTATCTTTTATCCTTACATCTATGTACATAAGTACATTACGGAGTAGTAGATGTGAGAAAAATTTGATATTTCAAAACTAAATTTTAAAATCAATTTAATTATATTAAATTTATATCATAATTGAATATATATGTTTTCATAATTTGTAGTCCAAATTTGTAAAATATGACTAAAAAGTCAAAAAGGGAAGATTATTTAGGGTAGAGATAATATAACTAGAAAAAAATATAAAATAATATGAGGTATTAAATTGATGATAGATTGATAAATGTGATAAAACATAAAAAGAAACACAAATAGTTAAATTTTAATTAGAAAATAATATATATCCAAAATATATTTGATCCGAAACCGAAATATATCCGAACCGAACTAGACCCAAAACCGAAATATATCCGACTCAAATTGTATACGAACCGATTTATAACCAAACCGTATCTGAACCGACTCGAATCCGAAACGAACCGAAAAATGCATAGAACCAAAATCAAATCCGAACCGAAATTTAACCGATCCGAAACTAACCGAATCAATTATAACATATAACCAAAAGATATCCGAACCGAAAAAAATCCAACTCGAAACCGATCCGGTTGATCCGATTGCCACCTCTATTTTTATCCACAACATGAAGGAGAGTGACACGACATTCTTCACTAGAACTATAGTGAATAGAGGAGAGGGCGAAAAAACTGCTTGTCTTCTCTAGATGTACAAGCTACGTTCTAGGTTTTGTGGAGAGTATTCTGGAATTTGGGCTACCAACACGTCTTTGAAAATGTTTCGGTGAAGGTTTGATAGCTTTGAAGAAGTTTGAACATCGTTCAAGATAATAATATTAGTTTTTGAAATTTTGTAATAACTATTTGGAGAAAATTGTCTTTGCACGTTTTTATTTACCAGTGTAAGCTGCTTTAAAATTTTAGTGAAAAGTTATAACATACACGTGAAACACTATTTACTGTTTTTACTTTATGTTCAACATGTGTGCATGTGACGGGAGGAACTCGTATAGTATACACTATTTGTGTGATAAATGTTGTAGTGTTTTCTCAGCAGTCAATTTGATCGATCTGTCTGCAAACTTATTTTGATTAGTAATTCTCGATGCGCTCTAGTTATTTCACAACCAACAAGGATTAAGATGTAACACTACTCTTTCCCCCGTGAAGAAGGGGTAAGCAAATCTAAGCTGTAAGCTATTAAAGAAATACAAAATATATTTAAGTTGGGTTTGGTGCACGAAATTCAGGCCATTGAATTTGAATTGGAAGCCAATTCTAATTCTGTTGTTTGGTAGCACAAATATATGTTGATTTGGAATTGATTCTAATTCAAAAGTTTCCAATTCCACATTTTAAATTACTCACCACAAGAAAAGAATTTGAAATCTAGAATTTGAATTCTACGGGTCAAAATGAAATCACTTGGATCTTTTTCTAGTCATAACAAGAAATAGGTCTTATAAACTTTGGGTGTGTTCGGAAAATAGCTAATTGGCTGCCTTTTGACTTTTTTTGACAAACTTTGGCTTCTTTGACTAATCAAAAAATAAAATTAAAAATTAAAAATTGCAAAATAACATTTAAAATTAAAAATCAGTGATTGCGCCCATTTGTCCTTGGAGATCGGATCTCATACTATTCGATTATTAGTTAACTAGCTGCGTCAAAAATTTGAATTTCTCACCAGCTTCTTGTGTTGTGGATTTGCATAATTTATTTTCAAATTTGTTAATTTTTTCCCATACCTATTGTGTAAACAATTATGTGTTTCCAAACAAAGAATTTAAAATTATAATATAGTTCTATATTAGTTTCTTAATTATACCAAATAAAGGATTTAGAATTGAATTAGAATTTCAATTTTGTTTACCGAAGAGAGCCTTAAAAAATTGGTATGGTTCTATTAATACTCATTCTAACCTATAACTAATGGATTAAAATCCATCACCCCTGTCTCTAATAAAATTACTGTTATCAAATCATTTTAATTTAAAATTGGTATAGCCAACCAAATTCAACTTTGATTTATAATTAAATAAAAATATATGGTATATTAATTAGCAAAAAAAAAATTCACAAATATTCTTTAAAATAAATCTAATAAAATGATTTTTGGATCAATATTTATTAATTAATAGTCAATGTTTGTCATTTTTAAGTGTAAAAAACAAAACCTAGATAAATATCCAAATCGGATTAGAGCATTTAAAAAGTACTCCTTCCGTCCCTATTTATTCACCACACTTTGACTTGCACACAATTTTAGGAAGTAGTTAAAAAGCATTTTTTTTCCAAATTTACCCCCCACCCACCCGTCCCAAAGCAAGCCTACAAACCAAAAAGGGGATAGAAAGGGAGTACTTAATTAAAGTAAATATCACATCAATGTCAATATTTTAGAACTAGGCCACAAATTGTACACATCATCACCAAATACACCACACACAAATTTCATTTAAAAATAAAGAGGGAAAAGAGCCAAAATTTGACATTCTTTCCCCCCAATTTTTCCCCTAAGTACACCCTCTTCAATGCCCATATAAATAAGTTGTGTGCATTGAAGAGGGGTATTTAATTCTAACCCAAAATGGATTACATATCTTCAAATCCATCTTCATCCACACTTCATGTATTTGATCTCAATCTGCCCCCGGCTGCCCATGAGTTCGATCTCAACGAAGATCCGACGCCGGCTTCACGTGGAGACGATCCATCTTTTGACGCCGATGTTCCCACCCTTAGCATTCGGGCTACTGCGTCATTCAGTGATATGGGACGTTTAGCCGAGGTTGTTTCCCCACGGACACCTCGGACAAACACATCGACTTCTCGTGGAGTGCATACCGGGCAGCCCGAAGAACCTGTGCACGAAAACGAAGAGGAACAGCAGGAGAACAACACGACGCACAGACTATCTGATACTCAAAAGAAACGCATAGTTGAAATGCTAATGGGAAAAGCCAAAGAAGACTGTAAACTTCAGCGGGGGGTCATTAAAGAAGTAGCAGCGAAGTTCAACACTAACAGATGGGCCGTTCACACCTTATGGACCAAAGCAAAACAACAATTTAATGCAGGCTTACCCATTAATGTGGCACCACAAATGAGGGGGCGTGTGGGCAAAAAAAGAGTCACGTGTGACTTAGGAAAACTGGTTGAAGTTCATTTTCATAAAAGGAAAAACATTCGTGCAGTTGCATACCAACTAAATGTATCAAAAAGCACAGTGCACAGGCTACTCAAAGAAAAGCAGATTCGACGTCACACGAATGCAATCAAGCCTTCGCTGACAGACAGTGGTAAGGTTAAAAGACTACGTTTTTGTTTAGATCATATCATGCCCCAAACAATACCCATGAACCCAACAATTCATCACTTTTATGACTATGTTCACATAGATGAGAAGTGGTTCCAACAATCACAAGAGACAAGTACCTTTTACACACTCCCCAATGAAGAAGATCCATATAGATCAGCTCAATCAAAAAAATTTATACCCAAAATAATGTTCCTAACTGTTGTGGGTAGACCAATGTTGGAGGGTGATGAAGAAAGCATTTGGGATGGGAAAGTGGGTATTTTCCCCTTCACATTTCAGGAAGGAGCAAAGAGGAGTAGTAAAAACAGGCCTGCAGGTACTTTAGAAACAAAGCCCATTCCAATTGTTAACAGAGATGTGATGAAGCAAATGATGCTGAATCAGGTCATACCTGCCTTTAAGGCCAAATGGCCTAAGACAAGGGCAAAGATTGTCATCATACAACAAGATAATGCCAAACCTCATGTACACCCTGATGATCCAGACAGAGTCCTTAGCTGTCAAAAAGATGGGTGGAACATTTCTATAAAGTGCCAACCTCCTAACAGCCCTGATCTGAATGTACTAGACTTGGGATTCTTTGCATCCATAGACAGTCTCAAAAACCAAAAAGCCCCAAGGAACATAAATGAACTGATCAATGCAGTGCAGAGTGCATTTGAGGAGTTAACCCCTCAAAAATTGAATAAGGTCTTCTTGACCTTACAATGTGTGATGGAACAGATTCTAGCGCAAAAAGGAGGAAACAACTAATATTCAAGTCAGTATGGAAGTGGTGGAGGCAGCCAAGAAGTTCTTAGCAGAACAGGGGCCTAGTAACAATTGACTTAGAAATACAATCTAAGTTCTTTGTTTTAATTTTTTGCTTTTTGGAGGGACTTGTACTAATATTTGGAGTGGGGGTAGTTCAAGCTGACTTGTATTTAGTACAAAGGGTACTTTTTTGATTTTTGTAGGGGACAAGTTTTGTAAGTGCTCCTGAATTATGTATTCAATGAATGTATAAGTATATTCTGAATGCATTTTGGTCTCAGATTATAAAGTCATCACAGACCACAGATTAGGCACATGAGGCAACAAACACTTAGGGATCACATACTGGCCAGCATCTGACATAAGGAATGAATGGCAACACAGTTTTGGTCTCAGATTTTAGAGTCATCACAGACCACAGATTAGGCACATGAGGCAACAAACACTTAGGGATCACATACTGGCCAGCATTTGACATAAGGAATGAATGGCAACACAGTTTTGGTCTCAGATTTTAGAGTCATCACAGACCACAGATTAGGCACATGAGGCAACAAACACTTAGGGATCACATACTGGGCAGCCATTGACATAAGGAATGAATGGCAACACAGTTTTGGTCTCAGATTTTAGAGTTATCACAGACCACAGTGCAGTCACAGTGGGCAACAAACATTAGGGATCACATACTGGGCAGCCATTGACATTAGGATTGAATGGCAACACAGTTTTGGTCTCAGATTTTAGAGTCATCACAGACCACAGTGCAGTCATAGTGGGCAACAAACATTAGGGATCACATACTGGCAGCATTTCACATAAGGAATGAATGACAACACATAGGTCACAGATTTTAAAGTCATCACAGACCATAGAGCAGTCACACTAAGTAAAATTTCACGTAATGAATGAATGGCAAGACCAGTACACATTTCAACTCATCACAGACCACACATCAAGGTCAAATACTCCAAAATTTGGGCATTATACACCTCGGGCAACACCAGTAGACAACCAAATACATAAATTGATTTCACAAATGGCACAGAGATGTGATGGCCTCACTAAAAAGTGTTGAAATTTAATCCCCCCTTCATCATTAGTTAAGAGATTGAATTACCATAACATGCAGAGACAATCCACTCGATAATAAAGTTATTGAGGAGAGGTCATACCACAGGAAGGCAAATCGAAGGGTATTGGTGGAGGGTTCACCATCAAAGCATAATCTGTGCAGACCAATTGGCTATGATCACAGTCAGATGTCACCTCTTCGGATTCCCCATCGTTGCTCTCAAATTCCAGATCTGATTCATCAAACATCGCCACATCCCCGTACTTCTTACGATACTTCCAGGTTGGGTCTGTATCAGAAGTAGAAGTCGAAGGAGTAGGATAGCGACGCTTCAATCCTCGTCCAGATCCACCAATTTGGGGGAATCTACCTCGCGAGGGTGTTTCCTGTATCAACATATTAAAATTGGGATATGAGGGATCTGGATTACCCATAGATTAGGGAGTGGAGAAGACGAACATTGTGGCGGAGATGAATTTGAGAATGTCGCGGAGATGAAGAGATTATGGAGAAGAAGAAGATTGAAGATGAGATATCAGATGGAGAAGACGAAAGAGTGTGGTGAGAATGAGAGGAAAGGATTCTGATTGAAGATAAGGATTTTGAAAAAGCAGAGGTATAATAGTCTTAACACACCAATTTACTTTCTATTATTAGAGGTGTGGTGAATATTTTGGGACGGATGAAAAAGGAAAGTGTGACAAATATTTAGGGACGGAGGGAGTATATAAAAACAAAATGAAAGATAAGTAAAATATTCTATTTTTTCAAATAGTGAATGAAAATAAATAAATAAAAATGATGGAGAAAAAAAAAAGAAAATAATTGGAGGCAATGGAACGAGAGGGTATCGCCAATAAAGAGATGACAAGTCATGGAGTAAGCGGAGGTGGAAACAGTACGGAGTATTTTTATTCTTCCGCAAAGATGGGCACCCCGGGGGGCCCAACCCCAACCCCCCCCCCCCCCCCACAACTTTCCAACCCTCCCTTTAACAATTTGTGGCCTCAAAAGGGACACTTAAGCCTCCCACCCCTTCCCACCAATCAGCAGTCGAAAACAAATGCTCCCCAAACCACCCCGGTTTCACCCAAAACAACCTTATCCCCCACAAAAGAAAAAAAAACCCCTGTCCCCATCTCAGTTTCTCCACAAACACCCCCAGTCATGACTCATGGCCCGACCCAGGGTCCAGTAGGGTTATTTTATATTTTTCAAAATCTATTATATACTACCTCTGTTTTTAAAAACATTTTCTTTTTCATTTTTTTCACTTTCAACAAAACATTTCCACTTTCTATTAAAAACCCACTTTTACCCTTATTTTTTTTATATCATACCTATCACATCATATTTTATCTCTAATAACCTATCTGTTTTACCTATCACATGAAGGGCAAAATTGGAAGTCAACTACAATTTAATACGGAGTACTTTCTTAATTTTAGGAACACTTTTTCCAAACGGAGGGAGTAATTAATAATAATACTCCCTCCGTTTGCAAAAAAGGTTCCTACTTTGACTTGGAGCCAAAATAAGGAAGTGTAAAATTATAGTTGACTTCCAATTTTGCCTCTGATGTGATGGGTAAAAGTAATATGTGATGGATAGATTATTAGAGAAAAAGTATGATGTGATAGATAGGGTATGAAAAAGTAAGGGTAAAATTGGTTTTTTAATAGAAAATGGAAGTATTTTGTTGGAAGTGATAAAAAGGAAAGAGGAAGTGTTTTTGAGAACGGAGGGAGTACATTTTAATTGCATGTGTTACTCCCTCCGTTCCACAAAACTCTTTCCTTTTTGTTTTTTTTTGAATTCCTAAAATACTTACACTTTCTATTAAAAAACCACTTTTACCCTTACTTTTTCATACCCTACCTATCACATCATACTTTTTCACTAATAACCAAACTATCACATCTTACTTTTACCCATCACATCAGGGGCAAAAATGAAAAGTCAACAAAAATTACACTTTCTTTATTTTTGTCAAAAGTCAAAAGTGGAAGGGTTTATAGGAACGGAGGGAGTATTTTAAGTTATTTGAATATTTGAGCAAAAATTAAGTGCTCCTATCGATATTAAAAATCTTTCCTGTTTTGACATTTTTAGTTAAACATTGACACTTATTGAATCTGAATTAAACATAAACTAAATAAATAAATGATATATCAAAATTATAACCTAAAATAAATCTAATTATATTGAATTTATTTTATAATGAAATATACATTTCTCACAATTTATAACTTACTGTTTCGCCAAAAAAAGTCAAAACATGAAAGCTTTTAGGATTGGAGGGAGTACTTTTGTGTCGTTTCTTATTGTGTTTGCAAAAAAAATTGGTTATTAGCTACCCATCTAATGTGTATTAGCTTTAATATTTGTTGCATTGGTTATAATTTTTATAATAAATAATAATGTTATATAATCATGTTATTCGAACTATTTAAACGTTTGAAATCAAACTTATTAATTTTTTGTCATTTCATATTGTCCTTATTAAAATACTCGCTCCGTCCCATAAAACCTTTCTCTTTTCTTTTTTCATCCGTCCCATAAAACACTTCTCATTTCTATTAAAAATTTACTTTTACCTCTTACTTTTTCATACCATACCTATCACATCATACCTTTTTACTAATAATCTACCCATCAAATCCTATTTTTACCCATCACATCAAAGGACATTTTTGGAAATTCAATACCAAAATACACTTTCTTAAATCTCTTCAAAAAACAAAACATCCCATGTTTCATGGGACGGAGGTAGTAATTTTTATGACAATTTAAAACTTGGTATTATGGTCAAAATTTCATCAAGTAAGAACATTTTTGGACGAAGAAAGAAAGCAAAAAAAAAGTTGGAACTTTTAAATGTTACTCCCTCCGTCCCCCTGTATTTGTCCACTTTCATTTTTACACACCATTCAATGCACTTCTTTAATTCATTTTATCTTGTAATTTGTATATTAAAAAATTATATATTAATAATCTATATGTTAAGACAAATCAAACAAGATCACACATTACTATATTTAGGCTTACACATTGAGAGAATTTGATGAGTCAAAGTGCTTAGATGAACAGTTCTTAAAGTCAAATGTGGACAAATACAGGGGGACGGAGGGAGTATATGCGTACAAAAAAAAGGGGTGCAGTGTATATATAGAGCGAGGTATATGGTCTGATTGTGAGGAGACCAGGGAGAGAACATCTGATCTGCTGCTGCTGGTTCAATCCGCGGAATAATCAATTCACAAGAAGAAAGCTAAGAAGAAATGGGGAGAGGGAGAGTGGAGCTGAAGAGGATAGAGAACAGGATAAACCGGCAGGTGACCTTCTCGAAACGCCGGTCCGGTCTGATCAAGAAAGCCAACGAGATTTCGGTTCTCTGCGACGCCGAAGTCGCCCTCATCGTCTTCTCCACTAAGGGAAAGCTCTTTGAATACGCCTCTGATTCTTGGTATGTCCTCTCTCTCTCTCTCTCTCTCTCTCTCTACTTAGATTTGATCTTTTCTGTGTTTTTTTTTTAAAAATTAGTAATTTAATTTCTTATTGGTTTCCTGTCGATCTTTCAGCTATATCTTGTGATTCTTGCTGGGATTTTGATTTTTTTTTTTTGAAACTAATAACAAGTTTTTTTTTGTTGTTGTTGATGATGATCGGATTTCATTTGATGGATTAAAATTGAGAAGGAAAAATTTAATAATCCTCTTTTCTTTTCTGTGATCTGTCTTGATTTCATTTGCTGGTATATATATGCTTTATTCTTGCTTCGATTTTGATGTAAAATCTTAAACTTTTACTCCCTATTAATTAAAATACTCCATCCCTTCATAAATTTAATTTTTTTTATCGATCTCCAATGTAACACTTTGACTATTAATTTCTATATTTATAAAAAAATATAATACTTTAAAATGAATTTTTTGATCTATATTAATTTTATATTATAATCATTTAATTTATTTTTTGCTGTAATTTGTAATCAAAGTTTTAAAATTTTGACCTAAAAAATTAAACTGAGAAAGAAATTGATGGACGGAAGATGTAACATATTGTATGTTTTTATCTTCTAAATAATTAAGTTATATTTTTTGTATATATGTTTGCATATTACAGAGAGCCTAATATATAGGGACTAGGGAGTATCATACAGTTAAAAGATTGAAAATTCTAAGAGGTCTTGTTCACTCATGTTTTGTTAGTTCTTCCATTCTATTCCCTCCCTTTCATAAAATAATTCCGTTCTAATTTTTCGTGTCTCTCACATAAAACACATCTATCCACCCGAAATGTCTAAAAAGCTTTCATAATAATATTTACCCGCAATGAACTAAGATGTGAAGGTGTATTTTAGACATTTTAAGGAGGACCATGCTAAAGTGTCACTACATGGGTATTACGATGGGTGCATCCATGCTTCGCACAGACAAACACAGTCGATAATTGTCTGGGCGACACGGACAATTATCGTCTGTGTTTGTCTGTGCGAAACATGGGTGCACCCATGGTAACACCCATGTGGTGGCACCCTAGCATTTTCCTTTTAAGGAAGGTAAAAGTATTTTGAAAGATGCACAAAAGATTATGAGGAAGTGTGTGTTTTGTGAAATGGAGGAAGTTCTTTAATTTTTAAAAAAAATGTGCTACTCCCTCCGTCCTATAATGATCTTCCCGGTTCGCAAAACGAAGAAAAATTTCAAGTTTTTTCAATCTATTTTATTTAAATATTGGTATAGAAATAAAAAATAAAATATACATATTTAAAAACTACACCAGAAGTTCAACAAAACAAATGGTGACAAGAATATTTTATTTTATCATATAGGCAATGAAAAAACACAAATAAATATAAATTCCCGTGAAGTTGGAATAGTGCTTTGGGAAGATTATTATAGGAGGGAGGGAGTACTTTTTTATTAGGAGTATCATATAGTAAAAGATTAAAGCAGTAACTTTTTGTTGTTTAGAAAGTGGCGGTAATTAATTACTGCGTTTAATTAATTTCTTTGATAGTCATTATTATAGTGCCTGTTTGTAGTACGTAGTTGATCAGCATAAGGTACAATTGGTGCAGTTTCTTTTTAATATCTCATGTACTATATGACCAATTTTTTTTTTTTAAAAAAAAGAAGATAAAAATGCTCCCTTTTAACCTGTAGTTTAATTAGATGAAGGGGAAAAAAACAACAGTTGATTTTGACTTATGTTCGTGCCTTTTTACTATTTTCACGCCACTGGTTACTCTCATTCTTAAACCTTAACTTTCCTTTTACATCCGGTTATGAATGATCGTCCCGATCTTGTCAAAAAGGGCGGCTTAATATTTATTTTAAATGTTTTGGGGATAATATTTTTTTTATTATTTATTTAAATAGAAGCCTAATTCTGGACCTGCTTTTTGGACGCATTTTATACACCTCCAGTCCTCTTCGAATGGTTCTGGACCCTAAACCCTAATTTCTACGCACTTACTCCTTCCGTCTAGAAATTTCTTTTCCCGTTTTGATGTGGCACGGAGATTAAAAAAACGTTCAAAAGTGTAAAGACTTTCCATGTGTCATTCTTAATGTGGTCGAAAAAAGTGAATAGTACAGAGAAAAAGTAAGGGTATAATGACATATTTATTAAAAAAATTTTGCCAAAATAGGAAACGAGAAAAAAATTTGGACAACCCAAAAAAGAAAAATGAGAAAAAAATTAATAAGGGGAAGGAGTAATACAAATAAAGTTAATTACAATAAAACATAAAATAACACCGTGTAAGTAATAATAGTAATAATAATGGTAATAATAGTAATAATAATTATTATTATGGAAGGAAACCTCGGACAGCATTTTCCTTTATCCTTAATGTTATCTAATCCATGGTGTATTTATTCTGGTATATACGTGTTATAAAACTGCCTTTGTTGTTAATCATTTTTACTCCTTCCGTATAGTGTCTTATTTACTTATTTAGTTTCTTTGTTCAAAATTACTTGTTCATTTTTTTATATTCAATTATGAAATTATAATGAATTATATTAGGCACATTGTTGACATGCATGAATGAGGGACAAGTTCCTTTCAAAGACATGTTTGACATTTTAAGCTCAATTTTTAGGAATGAGATCTTTTAGAAATGAAATAATTAAATTTGAACAAAATGATAAATGCATGGAAGAAATTAAAGACTAAAATAAGAGTAAATCATAGGACCAGAATTCATTTTCAAAAATCACGCTCATCCTACAAAAAAACCAGCTCTCCACATTTCATTACGCAATGTCAATATACAATTTCAGCTTAAGTTACAATTCCAAAGATGGTAATACATCTTAACAAATATGACAATGCATAAGGCCAAAAATTTGAATGTATAATTTAAAAAACGCAATGAAACGCCAAGAAACAATGTCATTTGCTGGGAATTGCCGACATACAATGCCATGTTCACATCACAGACCAAATTTTATAACAAAAGAGCAAAAATTGTGATGATAAATTCAAGAAGAGCATTATTTGTTTGTGTTCAACCTTCTTCCCATAGTAGCTCATGAGCTTGAGAATCACAATATTTGATCGCTTTTTTATACAATAAAATTGATGAGGAGAAAGAATTAAAGGTATGGTATAATATACTCCCTCAGTTCTAGAATTATCTTCCTGTTTGTTTTTTTTCTTGGTCAAAATTTTCTAAACTTTGACAATAAAATATGGAAAAAACATATTCAATTATGATATAAATTTAATATCAATAGATTTATTTTGAAATAAAGTATAAAATATCATATCTATAGTATAAAATTATACTTCGTATATAAATAAAGATATTAATGGGTAAAATTAGTGCACTAGAGACCGTGAAAAAGCAAAAAGAATGAAAATTATGGGACGCAAAGAGTACTTTATAAGTAAGACTCCATTGTCAGTTCAAACTTGCTTTCTAGAGCAAAGATTTTATGTTTTGTAATTTAAACTAAATTTTTTATGCTAAAGTTTTTAAAGTAGATTTTTAAAACTAGATTCATTAAACACTTATACTCCATCTAAAATATCTAAAGTACCCCAAAACAATTTCTATCTGTAATAAAATAGGAACTTTTTGATGAAACATATTGCAATGACTTTATTTGGATATGTGAGTCATTTTGTTGAAAAATAGAAGTGTTTTATTGAAAATGTAAGAAATGAAAGAGGAAGAGTTTTCAAAGAAGAAGAGTGGGAGCATTACATATGTTGTGCATGCAACAATAGCATCTTGAATAAAGAATGTATATATCTAACATGAATCTGTTTTGTTTTGGCATGATAGGTATCAATTTCTTGTTAATAAGGCTTTGAGTGAAATACAATGTTCCATAATGAAACCTCCTAGCCAAGTAGGCAAAGAAGCTTCCTAGCTAGGCACCTTTTGTGGGTGCAAGATTTTCTGCATAAGTTGTAGCTAATGCAACTAATAAAGACTTGAGTGTGACTTTCCAAGTGATATATAGGGTATTTACCACCCATGCATTGACAGTGCAATTAATTACCAAGAGTAAAAATATAACCCACGGGCCTTCTATGAAGACCACAACCATAATCACACAATATACAAAGGCCTATATATGTATTAGACTTGTAATGATAATTTAAAAAAAAACAAGCCCAAAGAAGAATTATACATTATAATATAGTACTGCAAAATTCACTTAATGGCGTTTTGATGTTTCTTATCAAGATTATGCACTCACATTTAGACTTAATATACTTCTAACAAAAGCTAGACCAGGTCGGTCTAGTGCATATCATAACATACATGAAACTACCAAGAACACAAGAGTTTGAGTCATTTTTCAGACACTTTGCATTTATCTTTGAGATAAATATAAAATAAAACTTGACGGTCTCTATACATTTCTTGATGGAATAATACTCTTTTGGGCCTAGAGATATTTGACAGAAATACGGAGTAATTTTTAAAAGAAGACTAATGAGGCCTAAAGACCCAAGAAGCCTATTAAAGAGAGAGTAAGTTACAAAAGAAGTTTAACAAGCCCTAGAGGCCCAAGAAGTAGCCTAACCTTAGGCTCCCTACAAATTAGCTATACAAGAGAGAGTCAAGATATATGTCATGTTCTCTTCAATTTATTCTTATTACTTATTAGTTTTTCTTATTGGAATCACTTCAGATCATATTAGACCAGATCAGATCAGGAATAACTTTAAATATAACTACATGCAGATTAGGTGAAGAGAACATGGCCATACTTGATTATGGGAGCCTCTATCTGCCAATACGCACATATATACTAAACACACTCTCTCTTACCACTCATAAGGATCCTTAAAAAACTTAAAGCTTTATTCATGGCTTTCAAGGCAATCTTATGTACAATACTCTTCAAATACGTAATAAGACACAGCCACTCGCATGGTATCGCATAAAAAGGCATACAGGTTCACCAATTTGATTTCCATGTAAATATTTGTGTG